GAAAGCCTCTGAGATTTCTACCTCACTTTATGAAACTTCACCCATTTTGCATAGGTTACTAATAAGGTATTAAGATGCAAAGGCTATATTTTTCCCCACATTCCACCAAACCTTAAGAATTGCACAGTTGTGCCAGGATAATTCAATGTATGAAAAATACAGTAGTTCCCCCTTGTCCATGGTTTTGCTTTCTGAGGTTTCAGTTACCTGAGGTCAACCAGGATCTCAAAGTATTATATGGAAAATTCCTAAAAGAAAGAATTCTTAGGTTTTAAATTACTTGCCATTCTGAGTAGTATGATGAAATCCTGTTCTGTCCAACCTGGGACATGAATCATCTTTTGTTCAGCATATCCATGCCATCCATCTATGCCACCTGCCCATTAGTCACTTAGTAGGCAACTCAGTTATCAGATGAAATGTTATGGTCTAGCAGTGCTTGTGTTCAAGTGAACCTTACTGTGCTTAATAATGGCCCCAAAGTGCAAGAGCATAGATGCTGGAAATCTGAATAGGTCAAAGAGGAGCTATAAAGTGCTTCCTTTAAGTGAAAAGGGAAGTTCTTGACTTAAGGGGAAAAAATCATACACGAAGGCTGCTAAGATCCACAGTAAGAACAAATTATGAACTAAAATAAAATCTTAAGCACCCCTAGCTGACTGAATGAACTCCCTCTTGGCCAAAGGGAACCCAGAAATACACTAACGCTGAGTTGCTGGCCGTGGGAAGGAAAGTCATATATGCCTCTTCATGTCCCCCTCCCTTCTTGGAGATATCCTTTGTAATAGTCCTAAAGCTGTGCAAGAAAAGGTTTAAATCACACCTGCAGGTCATTAATTTACTTAACAGATCATTTGAGTCTCTCTGTATATGTCTGGGTGGCTAGTCTCTGATTAACAGATTTCCTTATCTTAAAACATCCCAAGCCTTTAGAAGAAGCTTCATTTCTTTAACCAATTACAAATCAATGCATCTTTAAACCCACCTATAACCTGTAATAACCAGCTTTTCAGGCCTTTTCAGGCCAAACCAATGTACACCTTCCACATATTGCTTTATGAGTTTACATATAATTCCTGTCTCCCTAAAATGTATAACACAAAACTATAACCCAACCACAGCAAGACCACTTGCACAAGGTTTCTTGGCTGTGGCTCTCCATGGAATGGTTGCACATATTTGCCTGAAAATAAACCTCTTTATTTTACAGAGTTTGCATTCTTTTCCGTTGACAAAATCTACCCGTGAAATTGCTAAGAAGGAAACAAAAATTTGTGCTAGCTTGCTGTCACACCTCAAACTGCAAAAGTCACAGCACAGTGTGTGAGGTAAGTGCTTAGTTAAGATGGAAACAGCATTAACTTTGGGGGTGGAAGACATGAACAGACACATGTTCTAATTGACAGCAATCAGATTTAGTATGTTTACAGTTCCAGGCATCCACTGGAGGTCTTGGGACATCCCTCCCCCATGGATAAGGGGAAAACTACTATAGTATTTAAGAAAAAAAAAAGGAAAATCAGAAAAACTCTTATAGCCAAGAAGAGCCTAAGGAGACATGACAAGTAAATGTAATGCAGGATTCTACATGGGATCCTGGAACAGACAAAAAAGACAGGCTGGGTGCAGTGGCCTAGCACTCTGGGAGGCCAAGGCGGGAGGATCGTTTGAGCTCAGGAGTTCCAAACTGGCCTCAGCAAGAACGAGACCCCATCTCTACTAAAAAAAAGAAATAGAAAGAAATTAGCTGGACAACTAAAAATATGTAGAAAACAATTGGCCGGGCATGGTGGCACATGCCTGTAGTCCCAGCACTCAGGAGGCTGAGGCAGGAGGATCGCTTAAGTCCAGGAGTTTGTGGTTACTGTGAGCTAGGCTGACGCCATGGCACTCTAGCCCTGGCAGCAGAGTGAGACTCTGTCTCAAAACAAAAAAAAAGACAATAGATAAAAACTGAGGAAATCTGAATAAACCATGGACTTCAGTTAATAACATCAATATTGGTTATTAATTGTAACAAATGCACTGTACTGGTGGTCCCCAAGTTACAGATGAGATACATTCCTGAGAACATCTTTAGGTCAAATTTGTATGTAATTTGGATCCCTCATGAACAGTATACATATATAGTAATAATAATATTATAAAGGATGATATATGATAATAAAAACACAGTGTAAGACTGTTAACAATAATTCCCCTGTACTGTAATAATGTTACAGAAACGACTGTGCTCTTTCTTTCAATTCAAACATACATAACAGAAAAACAAATTCACACAAAAAGTTTAGAAAGGAGACAGGAGAAATGTCAAAAAAGAATATGAAAGGTTAACACTCACCTAATGTTGCATCAACCCTAGGCTAATAGAAAAGTTACACTTATTTTGATCTTCTAACCAAATCAACAATAACCTTTCCATTTCAGTAAATAATCCACTACGCTGCTTAATAATGATGCTTTCACTGGAGCACTGCCTTTTACATGTTTCACTGTTGTGAATTTATCCTTTATAATTGTTCTGATAGTCCCGAGACTGAAACTTAATGCTTTCCCAATGAATGAAGGTATCTGGCCTTTCTCCAAACGCTTAATTATTTTTACTTTCATTTCCATTGTAATCACCTTTCTCTTTGCTGCAGGCTCTCCTGGACTTAGAGTGAACTTAAGTTTTGGAGGCATGGTCATAAGGGTAAACACAGACTCACAAAATCAAATTAAAAAGTTAAGACGAGGCTGGGCACCCATGGCTGGCATCTATAATCCTAGTAGTCTTGGAGGCCGAAGCGAGAGGATTGCTTGAGCTCAGGAGTTTGAGACCAGCCTGAGCAAAAGCAAGATACCCCGCTCTACAAAAAATAGAAAAATTAGCCAGGCATGGTAGTGCAGAACTGTAGTCCCAGCTACTGGGGAGGCTGTTACAGGGAGTTTGAGGTTGCCGTGAGCTATGGTGATACCACTGCACTTCTAGCCCAGGCAACAGAGTTAGACAGACCCTGTCTCAATCAATCAATCAGGAAGGAAGGAAAACTGGGGGAAGAAAAGGAATGTGGGAACTCTGTGTACTATCTTCTCAATATTTCTGTAAATCTAAAACTGCTTTAAAAAATAAAGTCTATTAATAAAAAAAAAGTTTCTAAACACAGGTTAAATTAAATCAAGGAAATAAAGATCAAACCACAATGAGAACATTTTACACCCACAAGGATGGCTATAATCAAAACAACAGTTATCAATGCAATCATATGGGGATAAGAAAAAATATTAAAAAAAAAATAAAAAAAAAAAACAACAGTTAATAAGATGTTGACAAGGATACGGAAAAATCTGAACCCTCATATGCTGCTGGTGGAAATATAAAATAGCACAGTCACTTTAGAAAATAGTCTGGCAGATCATCAAAAGATTAAAAATAGACTTACCATTTGACCCAGCAATTCTACTCCTACGTATATACCCAAGAGAAATTAAAATGTATATTCACTCAAAAAGTTGTTCACAAGTGTTCACAGCAGCATTATTCACAGTAGCCAAAAAATGAAAACCACCAAAACATCCATAAACTGATGGATAAATAAAATGTGTTATACTCATACTATGAATATTACTCAGCCATTATAGGAATGAAGTACTGATATGTGCTACAATATGGATGAACCCTAAAAACATCACACTAAGGGAAAAGAAGCCAGTCACAAAAACCACCTATGGTATGATTCCATTTATATGAAATGTCCAAAATAGGCGAATCTAAATACCTATTAGGACTTCTAATAGGTACAGCATTTCTTTTGAAGATGATAAAAATGTTCTGTTTGTTTGTTTGTTTGTTTGTTTGTTTGTTTGTTTGTTTGTTTTGAGACAGAGTCTTGCTCCATTGCCCTGGGTAGAGTATAGTGGTGTCATCTTAGCTCACAGCAACCTCAAACTCCTGGGCTCAAGCGATCCTCCTGCCTCAGCCTCCTAAGTAGTTGGGACTAGAGTAATGTACTAGGATGCCCAGCTAATTTCTCTATTTTTAGTCGACATGGGGTCTCACTCAGGGTGGTCACAAACTCCTGACCTCAAGCAATCCTCCTGTCTCTCCTTCCAGAGTGCTATGATTACAGGCATGAGCCACCTCGCCTGGCTGGAGTGATGAAAATGTTCTAAAAGTGATTGTGGTGAGGGTTGCTCAATGCTGTGAATATATTAAAAACCACTAAATTGTACATTTTATTTTTTTTTTTTTTTTTTTTTTTTTTTGGGCAGATCTCAAGCTTGGAATAAATTGTACATTTTAAATGAGTGAATTGTATGGCATGTGAATTGTATCTCAATAAAGCTGTTGTTTTCTAAAAATCAGTTTCCCTTTTTGTGAAATAAGGACACTCTTTTGTTTTCAAGTCTGTGGTTTAAATCAGGTCCCCATAAACGACAGCAGCTGCCACCTGGTAAAACTGGGTGACTTCACATGCTCAGCAAACAACTTCTGTGTGTACAAGATTTTGAATAATTATTTGAAAGAATACATAAGAAAATCAGGCTGTCAATCCATTCTCACTTTTCTGACATTGTCATTTAAATTAAGACAGAGTGCAATCACCATTTCCCCAGTCAAGAAGCCAACAGCAATACTATCTGTTACACGTATGTCCATGGTGGATGAAGACAGAAAATGCACCCTCACAAACATAAGGCTGATAATGCACTGAAATGGCACAGCAGCAAAAGTTAGAGTACATGTTTTATGTTTGGGTGGAAAGACAACAGATGAACAAGGCAGGCTGAAGTGATGATGCTTGATGGGCACACCCTCTGCTAAACAATTACAAACATTCCCCCACAGGTCTGTAGAAAGCCTTCCTATTGCTTATTGAGCATATTTCTCTACTCAGAAGCCAAATTAAAACCATCTGCTTAATAATCTGATCATACCCCGGGTGGACAAAAAACAGAGAGCTAACGAACCTTTGGAAGTGGGGAGGAAAAAGAAAAGGAAAAAATGGGCCACCATTTACCTTCATTAAAATGACTGAAGCACCACTCCTGAATTGGTGATCAGACCTGGAAAGGGGAATGGAGGCGGGAGCATGGTATTAATGGTTTGGAATAGGAAATTGGCCCTTTGTGCCAATTTGTTTTCTTTTCTTTTTTTTTTTTTTCTTTTTTTTCTCTTTTTTTCTTTTTTTTTCTTTTTCTTTTTTTTTTTTTTTTTTTTTTTTTCTTTTTTTCTTTTTTTTTCTTTTTCTTTTTTTTTTTTTTTTTTTTTAAATTTTTTGTTTCCTCCGTCCCCGCCTCAGCCACCGCCACCGCCACCACAGCCGCCTCCTTAGTCCTGTTTTCTTTTCTTAAACAAGCAAATAATTTAAATAGTCAGTTCACAGAAGGAAAAAAAATAGATGGCTTAAAGATAGGGAAAATGTCCTATCTCATTCATAATTAACAAAATACAAAAGGAAACTATCGTTTTTTATCCTTTAGATTGTTGAATATTTAAAAGTTGGGTAAAATTAGTGTAGATGAGAGTGTGAAGAAAGAGAAATCTTAATTTTCTCTTTTTTTCTTTTTGATACAGGGTCTCACTCTGTCGCCTAGGCTGGGCTGAATTCTAGCTCACTACAGCCTTGAATTCCTGAGTTCAAGCAATCCTTCTGACTCAGCTTCCCGAGTAGCTAGAACTACAGCAGACACATGCCATCTCACCCAGCTAATTTTTCTTATTTCTTATATAAATGGGGTCTCACTATGTTTCCCAGGCTGGTCTTGAAATCCTAGTCTCAAGAGATCCTCCCACCTCAGCCTCCCAAAGTGCTAGCATTATAAGTATACCAGGCCCACTCTTGGTAGGAATATAAATTTGGCAGTATATCTCAATTTCAAATGCTTACATCTTTTGTTTCAGCAATTCAATGTCTAGGAATTTACCCCAAGAATAACCTTACACAAGTTTGCAAAGATAAATTAAAAGGATGTTTATAGCTGTACTGTTTATAATAAGTAAAAACTAGAAGCAATCTAAAAGTCCACAGGCAGGGCGCAGTGGCTCACGCTTGTAATCCCAGCACTCTGGGATGCTGAGGTGGGTGGACTGCTCAAGGTCAGGAGTTTGAAACCAGCCTGAGCAAGAGCAAGACCCCATCTTTACTAAAAATAGAAAGAAATTAATTGGACAACTAAAAATATATAGAAAAAATTAGCCAGACATGGTGGCGCATGCCTATAGTGGCGCATGCCAAGTAGCCAGCCTGCAGCTACTCCGGAGGCTGAGGCAGGGGATCGCTTGAGCCCAGGAGTTTGAGGTTGCTGCGAGCTAGGCTGACGCCATGGCACTCTAGCCAGGGCAACAGAGTGAGACTCTGTCTCAAAAAAAAAAAAGAAGATACAAATGTATAAAACAACTGCACTGAAGGGGGTGGTGGATAAAGGTACTAACCTAAGTAACTTTAGAAATGACTGGAGTCTGCTGAGACTAAAATCACAAGGAACTACACATTAGCAGTGTACTCTAGTTAATAGAACTGTTTCCCACAGGCATACAGATTAACATTCTGAAACCACTACACATGTAAATGTACAAATGAGTAAATGTAATGGTATCCTGGATGGGATCCTGTAACATAAAAGGGACCTTCTAACTATGAATTAACTATTTTTAAAAACATTTTTTAAAACTCACATGCAAATGAAAAAAATTAAATACAAAGTAAAAATAAATCACATGCAAGTAACTTCTAGTATATATAATACTCCAAAAAGAATAATTCCCAGTGAAATATTGTTTAACAGAAATTAGCCCAAATAATGATAAAGATATTCAAAATATTTTTTAAAGGCCGGGCGCGGTGGCTCACGCCTGTAATCCTAGCTCTTGGGAGGCCGAGGCGGGCAGATTGCTCAAGGTCAGGAGTTCAAAACCAGCCTGAGCAAGAGCAAGACCCCGTCTCTACTATAAATAGAAAGAAATTAATTGGCCAACTGATATATATATAAAAAATTAGCCGGGCATGGTGGCACATGCCTGTAGTCCCAGCTACTCGGGAGGCTGAGGCAGAAGGATCGCTTGAGCCCAGGAGTTTGAGGTTGCTGTGAGCTAGGCTGACGCCATGGCACTCATTCTAGCCTGGACAACAAAGCGAAAAAAAAAAAAAAAAAAAAAATTTTAAATCATAACACAAAGAAAATAGTTGAGCGAATATTATTAAATCTAATATATAATATCATATCATATATATCTCAGATTGCTGGATATTTAAAAGCAATGGTTTTAAATTGTTTTTATTAAGTACTATTCCTAAACACAGATAAGACACACACAAGAAGCCATTAGAACTTATCCTTAGAACCAGAAGAAGAAACCATAAAGAGCCTCGGAGGTTCACACAGGGTAACACATTGACTGCCACACTAGAAAAAAAAAAAAATTTCCTTTGGGGCCACAGTGTTTTATTATGAAAATAAAACAAAAACTTTAAAAACAAAATGATCCTTTCTAATTTAATGAAAAATTTGGTTTTTTAAAATTGTTTTCTGTGTATGAGTTATATGCAATTAAATTGTCAATATTCTAATTATAACAATAAGAACATCAACAAGTAAGATATTCATGAACCAAATGCAGGCCCCAGTCTCAAAACTAGCCAAGATTTAAATATAACTCACATGGCAGTTAATGTGTTAAACATGATAATGCTTAAATGATTACATGATAATATAATTCTTACAAACTGTGTGTAAATGGAATTTTGGTATATTTTAAATGCATTCGAAAATCTTGCTATTTTGTTGATCAATTATTTTAAAAAGCAAAATTTCCTTTTCATTTTTTTTTTTTGTAAATCTGATGCCCACATTAAAAAGTATAAAAATATTTGAAAAGCAAATGAGGACGAATATAGAAGGAATAAAGTAAAATTTGATTCTATTTCATCTTAAAATAACTCTAAGAGAATTTTACACTGAACTTCCCATCTACTCATGAGTTATATCGTAAATATTTTAATTTATTAACTATTTACTGAGCATCTACTATAATCCAGATATAGTGCTAACCATATTAGAGATACAAAGATGACCAAAGGCATGGGTCCTTCAAAATATTCACTAAGGAGAGAAAAAAACTATAATAGAGATATGAACAAAATGCATCGGAAAGTCTGTAAAGGCTTTCCAGAGAAAGTAATATCTGAATTGGGTTTTAACATTGTTGTATAATGAAGAATTTTGCTGGTACTTTGTTCCTAGGAGAGAGCATCTAAATCTCTGCAATTTCCCAAATGATATGAGTGTCTTTGAGACCAATCACATGATTAGAGGATTGGGGCTTTACTCCATAGGATGTCAGCCTGAACTCTGGGGAACAGAGAGAGGCTGAAGACCCAGTTAAATCATGTGGCAAATGATTCAATCAATCATGCCTATGTAATGAAGCCCCAATAAAAACTCTGAACAACAAGGCTCAGTGAGGTTCACTTGTTGGGATACACATTGATGTACCCAGAGGGTAACATCCTGAGGAGATAGAAGCTTGACATTTGGGACCCTTCCAGAACTCACCCTATGTATCTCTCCCTTTTGCTGGTTCAGATTTGTATCCTTTTGCTATAATAAAACTGTAAACATTAAGTATAACTCTTTCTTGAGTTTTTTGAGTTGTTCTAGCATCTTGAGAGGGTTGTGGGAATCCTTGAATTTGTAGCATCTTGGTTAGAAGTATAGGTGGGCTGGGGACTCCCAACCTTGTGTCTAGTGTGTAAGGGAGGACTATGCCCCTGTAAAATTTCAGGTAACTCCAGGTAGTGTCAGAACTGCACTGCAAACAGTCTGGAAAAATTAAAGTAAGAATTTGCAATGTTATTCATAACAAAGTACAGTATACATTCACAGAATGAAACGTTATGCAACCATGAAAAAATTATAGATAAAAATTTATTGACATGGAGTTATAATCACCACACTTTCAGTTTACTAAAAACTGAAAAACACTTTCAGTTATATCAAACCTAACATGTTCAAAGGAGAAATCTTAGTTCTCACCATATACACCCCAATCAGCTCCTTCAATCACTTGTTCAAGCCAAAATTTGCATCATGTTTGCCTCCTTTCTTTCCCTAACACCTCCATCAATCTATCAGCAAATCTTATTTGTGCTACTTTCAAAATATATCCCTCCTCACTACCTCCACTACTACCATCCTTGACAAAGCCAACTATATCCATTTATTAGCATACTGCAATAGCCTCCTATCTAGTCTCCTTGCCTCCATTACAATTATTTCTCCACATAGCAATCACGATAACTTTTAAAAATATAAATCAAATCATGTCATTACTCTATGGTAAAACACTGATGTCTTCCCATGACATTCTGAACAAAATCTTAATTCCTTAATCTTAAATTCCCCATGATCTGGCCCCTACCTACTTCAACGATTTCATCTTTACTGCTTTACTGTTCTCTGCCCATCATTTTTCAAAGATGCCAAGCTAGTTCCCATCTCAAGACTTTTTCACCTGCTATTTAGTCCCTCACCTTCGAACACTCACTCCCCAGTTGTTTATATAGCCTGCTTCTTCACTTCGTTCAGGTCTCTGCGTTCAGGTCTCTTCGTTCATATGTCACCATCCACAAAGGGACTTCCCTGAATATCTCATCTAAAATTAACACTTGCCTCCCTGTCCTTATCTTGCTTTAGTTTTTTTCATCATACTTATCACTAACAGACATTACTTATTACCTATCTTCTCATTAGAATATAAGCTCCCAGGTTGGTCCAAGTGCAGTGGTATTTATAACCAATGGATCACAACCAGTTACGGATTCCTTTGTTCCTTCTCCACTCCCACTGCTTCACTTGACCAGCCTTTAAAAAAATAAAAGAAAAAAGAAAAAAATATATATAAGCTCTCTAAGCAAGGATCTTGCCTATCTTGTTTGCTACTGTATCTCCAGAGCCTAGTACAGTGCATGGTACATAGTGAGTACTCCATAAATACTTGTTGAATGAATGAATGATTAGGATGTCAGGTGAAAAGAGAATATAACAGTATTTTCAAAATTATTTCATTTTTATAAAATTAAACAAAATGGAAAACAAATACATACACACACATACTCCACATTCTGCCAATCCTCATTTATGAATTCCATATTTGCCTACTCACTAAAATGTACACGTAACCCTGAAATCAATGCCTACAGCATTTCTGCAGTCATTCACAGACATTTGCATGCACAGAAATTTGAGTTGCCTGGTGTGCACATTCCCAGCTGGCGACTAACAAAACAATGTTCTGACTTCTTGTTTCAGCCTTCATACTAAACAGAGTGGTGAGTCTATTTATTTAGTGCCATGTTTTTTGCATTTTTGTGGTTTATGTTGGTGATTCTGCTGTTTCAAATGACCCCCATGTTGAAATGCTGTCTAATGTTCCTACATACAAGAAGACTGTGACATGTCTTCTAGAGAAAAGATAAGATTTGTTCAGGCATGAGTTATAGTGTTATTTGCTGTGAGTTCAATATTAACAAATCAATAACATATATTAAGTAAGGTGTCTTTAAACAACAACATACAAAAAACAAGGTGAGAATGGACATGGTGGCTTATGCCTGTAATCCTAGCACTCTGGGAGGCGGATTGTTCAAGGTCAAGAGTTCAAGACCTCCCTGAGTAAGAGCAAGACCCCATCTCTACTAAAATAGAAATTATATGGCCAACAACAACAAAAAAGAAAGCTAAAATGTTGATCAGTTAACAAAACTGTGATTAGAGGCTCATAGCAACCTAATCCTGTACCCTAGGAGCAATGATTCAGTATTCACTAATTCTGTGTTTGCAGCAGCTTTATGTTTTATAGTTATAAAACATAACTACTGCAAATAATGAGAGTATATATATGTGTTTGTGTATGCAAATTAAAAGGTCAAAGAAGTTATATTATATCATGGTGTTAATAGAGTGCATATAATCTTTGGGTAGAAAGATTTTAGGGTATTTACTTTTTTCCTTGTTTGTATTTTCTTTTTTATCTGCAATGAAAATATTATTTATTAGAAGAAAAAAATTCAGAGTTGTTTTTATTTTATTTTTTGAACTTCTCTGTACTTGCATGTTTTTAATTTTTTTTTTTTTTTTTTTTTTTTTTTTTTTTTGAGACAGAATCTCACTCTCTTGCCTAGGCTAGAGTGCTGTGGCATCAGCCTAGCTCACAGCAACCTCAAACTCCTGGGTTCAAGCAATCCTTCTGCCTCAGCCTCCCGAGTAGCTGGGACTACAGGCGTGCGCCACCGTGCCCGGCTCATTTTTTCTATATATTTTTAGTTGGCCAATTAATTTCTTACTATTTTTAGTAGAGACGGGGGTCTCACTCTTGCTCAGGCTGGTTTCGAACTCCTGACCTTGAGCAATCTGCCTGCCTCAGCCTCCCAGAGAGCTAAGATTACAGGCATGAGCCACCGCGCCCAGCCTAATTTTTTAAAATAAGAATTATACTAGTAAGCATTCTACGGTAGCCAAAGGAATATAAAATAAAAATAGGATAAAGGCCGGGCATGGTGGCTCACACCTGTAATCCTAGCTCTCTGGAGGCCAAGGCGGGTGGATTGTTTGAGCCCAGGAGTTCGAAACCTGAGCAAGAGCAAGACCCCGTCTCTACTATAAACAGAAAGAAATTAATTGGCCAACTAATATATATAGAAAATATTAGCCAGGCATGGTGGCGCATGCCTGTAGTCCCAGCTACTTGGGAGGCTGAGGCATAAGGATAGCTTAAGCCCAGGAGTTTGAGGTTGCTGTGAGCCAGGCTGACGCCAGGGCACTCACTCTAGCCTGGGCAACAAAGTGAGACTTTGTCTCAAAAGAAAAAAAAAAAAAATAGGATATGAACAGTGAATTTTTAATAACTCAAAGTATAAATTCATAAATCTTAACTTCTTAAACCTGAATCTTCTAAATGAAACTTCACATGTGCAAATACACATCTTTAATTATATAGTTCTTCCTCAACAATAACTGACAAACTATTTGAATACTAACAGTTTGAAACTCACTCATGTATAATTATAGAAACTTAGAAAAAATCCTTAGAGAGCATCTAGTTAAATTTCAAACCTAATGCAAGAACTCCTTTCACTAACTTTTCTACAAGGGGTCACCTACCCTCTGCCAAAATATATCCTAGGATAGAGAGCACATTATCCCATAAAACAGCACATTTTAATTTTCACCCACTGGTCTTAGTTCAATCTCAGTTCCAAAACAAAGCAGATAGACTCTTTTGTCTTTACACGAGCCTTTCAAATACATAAGGCAGATCTCATGTGCTCCCTTAATCATCTTTTCACACTAAGTATCCTAGTATACCTATGATCCTGTGTGGTATACAACTTTATTTTTGCCCCTGTGTAATGCACCCTCCTTGAGTGTGGGCTGAATCTAGTGACCTCTAATGAAAAGGATACCACAAAGACCATGGGATGTCAATTCCAAGATTAGGTTACAGAACAACTCTGGCTTCCACCTACTTCGCTCTCTCCCGCTCTCTTACCCACTTGAAAGCCAGCTGCCACATTGTAAACTGCTTTATGGAAAGTCCCATAAGGGCAAGGAACTGAAGGAGGCCTCTAATCAACAGCCAGTGTGGATCTAAGGCCCTCAGTTTATCAACCTGTGAAGAACTGAATACTGCCAACGACCATATGAAAGACCTTGGAAACAGATCTTCCATAAAACTTCAAATGAAACTAAAGCTCCAGCTAATACTTTTCTTTTCTTTGTTTCTTTCTTTTTTTTTTGAGACAGGGTCTCTGTCTGTTCTCCAGGTTGGAATGCAGTGGCCTCATCATAGCTCACCGCAACCTAAAACTCCTGTGCTCACGTGATCCTCCTGCCTCAGCCTCCCAAGTAGCTGGGACTACAGATGTGTGTCACCATACCCAGATAATATTTCTATTTTTATGTAGAGACAGGGTCCCGCTCTTGCTCAGGCTGTTCTCAAACTCCTGGCCTCAAGCAATCCTCTTGCCTCAGCCTCCCAAAGTGCTAGGATTACAGGCATGAGTCACTCAGCCTCCAACTAGCACCTTGATGGCAGCTTTGTGAGAAATCCTGAGCCAGAAGACATAGCTAAGACCACCTAGATTCCTAACTCATAGAAACTATAAGATAGGCCGGGCGCGGTGGCTCACGCCTGTAATCCTAGCTCTCTGGGAGGCCGAGGCGGGCGGATTGCTCGAGGTCAGGAGATCGAAACCAGCCTGAGCAAGAGCGAGACCCCGTCTCTACTATAAATAGAAAGAAATTAATTGGCCAACTAATATATACAAAAAATTAGCCGGGCATGGTGGCGAATGCCTGTAGTCCCAGCTACTTGGGAGGCTGAGGCAGGAGGATTGCTTGAGCCCAGGAGTTTGAGGTTGCTGTGAGCTAGGCTGACGCCATGGCACTCACTCTAGCCTGGGCAACAAAGCGAGACTCTGTCTCAAAAAAAAAAAAAAAAAGAAACTATAAGATAACAAATGTTTATTGTTTTAAGGCACTGAATTTGGGGGCAATTTATTATGGAACAATACAACTAATGCATTTAGCAATTTCACTTCTTGTCATAGCCTAGATTCTCACACATGTATCTTCATTAAACAGAGAAAAACTGAAAACAACTTAAATGCTCATCAAAGGGGAACAGATAAATATAATGTGATAGTCTTAAGATTTAAGACTGTGCATCATTTAAAAATGAATAAACTAGATCTATTTAATCTTTATATATATAGAAATATTATAAATGAATTGGCATTTCTGTCTAAACATGGTAATTAAACATATACATTTATCTCTTCTTCCTCCCAAATTAAATCTTCACTAAAACTAAGAATAAAGGGCACTCTGAGAGGCCAAGGCTGGTGGATTGCTCAAGTCAGGAGTTCGAAACCAGCCTGAGCAGGAGCGAGACCCCGTCTCTACTATAAAAAGAAAGAAATTAATTGGCCAACTGATATATATATAGAAAAAAATTAGCCGGGCACGGTGGCACATGCCTGTAGTCCCAGCCACTCAGGAGGCTGAGGCAGGAGGACTGCTTGAACCCAGGAGTTTGAGATTGCTGTGAGCTAGGCTGATGCCACGGCACTCACTCTAGCCTGGGCAACAAAGTGAGACTCTGTCTCAAAAAAAAAAAAGAAAAAAAAAAAAAGAAGAAGAATAAAGGCATACAAAAGGTATAAATCCACAAGGACAAAAAAACTAGGAAATTAAATGACTGCAAGAGTGTATCTGACACAAAATTTTGGAAGCTAGAAAGCAGATAAATGCTCTGATGAACATTATCAGAGAAAGAAGTAGAAGGTAGATAGTGGCAACCAGAAACACACCTACTCCCACTACAGAACTCAGGAAAAGCTCAGGAACTGAAAGCCTTTGCAGGTGGGGATTTGGGATGGGACTTAAAAATGGAAGAGTGATTAAAACGTGTTTAAGAAGCAGTTAGATGCTTCAGATTCTCTCCTTCAACCAGATATAACCAGGCAAATGCCCCTCCCCTACAGCAGAAGACTGTAGGCTTACTTTCTGAAGAATGTGAGCCAAAGGCGGGTATGACTCTGGGACACCAGCCAGAGCTAAACTGGGTGAAACACCTTATCAAAAACGGAGATTTCGGCTGGCCCAGTGGTGTTTACAATTGATCATAGCCAGTTACAGATTTATTTGTTCCATCTCTACTCTCACTTTTTCACTTGACTAGCCTTAAAATTTTTTAAATAAAAGAATAATTTCTGGCCGGGCGCGGTGGCTCACGCCTGTAATCCTAGCTCTCTGGGAGGCCGAGGCGGGCGGATTGCTCGAGGTCAGGAGTTCGAAACCAG